CAAAAATCCTCAACAAAATACTAGCAAACAGAATCCAACAGCACGTTAAACAGATCATACACCATGATCAAGTGGGGTTTATTTCAGGAATGCAAGGATTCTTCAATATACACAAATCAATGAATGTGATACACCATATTAACAATTGAAGGAGAAAAACCATATGATCATCTCAATAGATGCAGAGAAATCTTTCGACAAAATTCAACACCGATTTATGATAAAAACCCTCCAGAAACTAGGCATAGAGGGAACTTTCCTCAACATAATAAAGGCCATATATGACAAACCCACAGCCAACATCGTTCTCAATGGTGAAAAACTGAAAACATTTCCACTAAGATCAGGAACAAGACGAGGTTGCCCACTCTCACCACTCTTATTCAACATAGTTTTGGAAGTTTTAGCCACAGCAATCAGAGAAGAAAAGGAAATAAAAGGAATCCAAATCGGAAAAGAAGAAGTAAAGCTGTCACTTTGCAGATGACATGATACTATACATAGAGAATCCTAAAGATGCTACCAGAAAACTACTAGAGCTAATCAATGAATTTGGTAAAGTAGCAGGATTCAAAATTAATGCACAGAAATCTCTGGCATTCCTATACACTAATGATGAAATATCTGAAAGTGAAATCAAGAAAACACTCCATTTACCACTACAACAAAAAGAATAAAATATCTAGGAATAAACCTACCTAAGGAGACAAAAGACCTGTATGCAGAAAATTATAAGACACTGATGAAAGAAATTAAAGATGATACAAATAGATGGAGAGATATACCATGTTCTTGGATTGGAAGAATCAACATTGTGAAAATGACTCTACTACCCAAAGCAATCTACAGATTCAATGCAATCCCTATCAAACTACCACTGGCATTTTTCACAGAACTAGAACAAAAAATTTCACAATTTGTATGGAAACACAAAAGACCCCAAATAGCCAAAGCAATCTTGAGAAAGAAAAACGGAGCTGGAGGAATCAGGCTCCCTGACTTCAGACTATACTAGAAAGCTACAGTAATCAAGACAGTATGGTACTGGCACAAAAACAGAAAGATAGATCAATGGAACAGGATAGAAAGCTCAGAGATAAACCCACGCACATATGGTCACCTTATCTTTTATAAAGGAGGCAGGAATGCACAGTGGAGAAAGGATAGCCTCTTCAATAAGTGGTGCTGGGAAAACTGGACAGGTACATGTAAAAGTATGAGATTAGATCACTCCCTAACACCATACACAAAAATAAGCTCAAAATGGATTAAAGACCTAAATGTAAGGCCAGAAACTATCAAACTCTTAGAGGAAAACATAGGCAGAACACTCTATGACATAAATCACAGCAAGATCCTTTTTGAGCCACCTCCTAGAGAAATGGAAATAAAAACAAAAATAAACAAATGGGACCTAATGAAACTTCAAAGCTTTCGTACAGCAAAGGAAACCATAAACAAGACCAAAAGACAACCCTCAGAATGGGAGAAAATATTTGCAAATGAAGCAACTGACAAAGGATTAATCTCCAAAATTTATAAGCAGCTCATGCAGCTCAATAACAAAAAAACAAACAACCCAATCCAAAAATGGACAGAAGACCTAAATAGACATTTCTCCAAAGAAGATATACAGACTGCCAACAAACATATGAAAGAATACTCAACATCATTAATCATTAGAGAAATGGAAATCAAAACTACAATGAGATATCATCTCACACCAGTCACATGGCCATCATTAAAAAATCTACAAACAGTAAATGCTGGAGAGGGTGTGGAGAAAAGGGAGCCCTCTTGCACTGTTGGTGGGAATGTAAATTGATACAGCCACTGTGGAGAACAGTATGGAGGTTCCTTAAAAAGCTACAAATAGAACTACCATATGACCCAGCAATCCCACTACTGGGCATATACCCTGAGAAAACCATAATTCAAAAAGAGTCATGTACCAAAATGTTCATTGCAGCTCTATTTATAATAGCCCGGAGATGGAAACAGCCTAAGTGTCCATCATCGGATGAATGGATAAAGAAGATGTGGCACATATATACAATGGAATATTACTCAGCCATAAAAAGAAATGAAATTGAGCTATTTGTAATGAGGTGGATAGACCTAGAGTCTGTCATACAGAGTGAAGTATGTCAGAAAGAGCAAGACAAATAGCGTATGCTAACACATATATATGGAAGTTAAGAAAAAAAAATGTCATGAAGAACCTAGGGGGAAGACAGACCTACTAGAGACTTGAGGATATGGGGAGGGGGAAGGGTAAGCTGTGACAAAGCGAGAGAGAGGCATGGACATATATACACTACCAAACGTAAGGTAGATAGCTAGTGGGAAGCAGCCACATAGCACAGGGAGATCAGCTTGGTTCTTTGTGACCGCCTGGAGGGGTGGGATAGGGAGGGTGGGAGGGAGGGAGATGCAAGAGGGAAGAGATATGGGAACATATGTATATGTATAGCTGATTCACTTTGTTATAAAGCAGAAACTAACACACCATTGTAAAGCAATTATACTCCAATAAAGATGTAAAAAAAAAGATGACAAGGAGTAATGGGTAGTATGGTGAACTGTGGAAAGAATGAACCAACCCAAAGCATTACCAAAAACATCTAAACACTGTGTCAGCCAAGCGAAATACATCTCCAAGTCCACAGCCCTCAAGGCTGTTCTTATTTCCACATTGGTGTGAAAACTGGGAAGATCCACCAACAATGGACATCACAGTAGTTTCCAGTGAATCCTCCCCCACCATGAAACGCCTTGGTACCATGTAAGCCCTCGAAACCCAACCATAGAGCCTGGGTAAGTGAGGAGAGGAAATCCCAACAATGAGTAAAGTTAAATTTTCTCTCCATCCCAGTGGAATGAGACTTAGATTCATAAAATATTCTGAGTTACAGAAAATAAGGAAAGTGGTATTTCTTATACACTTCATTTTGTAGACTATTTACACTAGCTACACAAATCATTAACCCTGCATGCAGCAAAATCTGAACCTGAACTAGTCTCTTTTTTCTTCACTTTTGTTTGAAACCATGTGAATATTTATAGAGTGACAAAGGGTTACTTCCTGGACCAGAGCTCAGGACAACAGGGTGTTTCTTCTCTCTTGTTCTCCCTGCAAAGACAGTTGCCATCATTCATTCCAGGCAACTGGTGTAGAGCGCTGCTTCTGTGCCACAGGTGCAAGGAGTGTCAGGTCTCAACCTATGTTCACTTAGCACACTAAGTACAATTTGGGACTTAGGTTTTATACATATCTGTCACTCCCAGAATTTTCTGTAGAGCACTGAAATTAAGCCACATTTTGGCCCACAGCATTCACATTTCAATTCTATGAGAAGAGTAGGGGGTTTTCCCAATTTCTTTCTCCAGGCTGAAATAAAGCCTTCTGTCTTCCCGGTTAATGAAAAAGCCAAGCCCAAAGTGCCCTTGTTTTGGTCCTCCAGTTGGATCCTAAATTTCGGCTGTAGCTGCATGTCAGCTGAAGTGGTGGTCCCCACTGACACCCCCATGCTGCTCCTCTAGACGCTCTCTGGGACTCTGCATTAGGGTTCTCATGTTCTACTGTTTTCACCCATGAACACACTCCCCACAGAAACAGCTCTGAGTAAAATGATGGGTTTTTTAAAATTTATTATTATTTTTCATTCTTATTTTTTTCATTTTTAATTAAAATGATTTTTATTCTTTAGATTCTGGCTGCATATATTCCACTAGGCTAACATAAGTAACTCTGCAAATACATGCCTTTACATACTGGATAACAAGAACTGAAACACCATATTATACATAGTTGGTGTCTAATTGATAAATATCAACTTACAAAGATTTATGACCCAAAGGAAAGACAAAGTATTTCAATGAGTCAACATAGGACTGTGACTAATTCTTTGAACATCAAAGAGGCTAAAGGCATAGGTCATCTTCCCCTCCAGCGCTCTTTCCAGTCCATCAGACTATCCTCTTCCAGGCTGATAAATACTTTCTAAAGTCTTCCTAGAGTCCAAGCTTCTAGATGTTTATTCCTCCCTCTCGCTACACCATTCCAGCTATAGCTCCTCTTTGTGTTCGTGCAATTAATTTCCTCTAAGTCAAAAGCTTTGTGTACTCTTGTTCCCCATAGAACAAACGTGTATCTAGATCCTACCAGAAATGGGTTTCTTAGGAATTTGGTTTTCTTTTATAAATAACCTAAGAGGTAATCTGATTTTGTATTTTAAAAGTATTACTTTTTCTTATTTCCTTAAGCTTTTAGAAATTTCCCTTTTCGTTCTTCTTTCTGAGATTAATCATCTTAAAACTATTCTCCCTTTTGAATTACAAGTAACCAAGATAAAACCTCCAATCTTCAGTCTACTTCCACGTATGACTGCAACAAAATCAGACCAAATACTAAAGATCTGCATTTGCTGTTTTTTTTTTTACCACACTGAAAGATTGAAATTTTGTGAACCTTCTTGGTAAAACATTCCAATTTCTTGCACCCTTTAATGAGGAAGCTCTCTTAAAAGACTAATTTGAAATTTTCAGTATTCAGTGCAGGTCATTTCCTTCTTATTAACCTTCGTATTCAATATTATGGCACATACTTCGTACAGATCAGTTTATATTTGCCGTATTAAGACTCTGACTTTTTTGCTCCACCGCTTTTTGTTTTGTTTTGTTTTTCCCCAACCCATACAAATAAAAGAGTGGACTATATATGAAATGGCTGAAGTTCTAGTTCTATTATTAAATAGACAATGTCCCAAATTACTTTTTTTTTTTTTCCAAACTGTCTCAATAGCATCAGCTAGTGATAGAAACTCCAGAGAGAATGGGACCAAAACCCACAATGAGCCCCATGGACTCTGACAGCAAAGAGAAAAAAGAGTACACGAAAATCCCCTCCTCACCCGGGGGCCCCTTTTGTGTCGTTCCTGCCAACGCAGCAGCCCTCCTGCTATATAGACCCGCGCGCCCGCCCCACCGCACTGAACTCGCATCCCCGCATCCAGCAGCCATGGGGAAGGTGAGCCCCACGCCGGCGGGAGGGGCCCGCAGCCGGGCTGGAGCCCAGGCCTCTGAGCCCTGTCCTTCCCTTCCCTGCAGATCACCTTCTACGAGGACCGGGGCTTCCAGGGCCGCCACTACGAGTGCAGCAGCGACCACGCCAACCTGCAGCCTTACTTGGGCCGCTGCAACTCAGTGCGTGTGGACAGCGGCAGCTGGATGATCTATGAGCAGCCCAACTACCTGGGCTGCCAGTACTTCCTGCGGCGCGGCGACTACCCCGACTACCAGCAGTGGATGGGCCTCAACGACTCCGTTCGCTCCTGCCGCCTCATCCCCCACGTGAGTCCAGTTCCATATCATTCTGGTTCACTTTGGACCCAGAATGGATAGTTTCAAGCAAAGGTTAAATATTTGAAGTAGTGATCATTTAGAATAATTGAGAGTTTGGGGAAAAGGTAAGCTATGGTATATTAGTTCAATATAATTTGCCTTGAACAGAAGTAAATTGTTGCCCAGGTACCAGTTAATCAACAAATATTTATTAAGAATGTATCCGCTGCCCCGGGCATGTATAAAATAGAGGTCCTGACCTGGAATCATTTACAATGGAGTTGTAGAAAAAACACTAATATCCAACAGAAAAATAATTAGGTGCTAGTGAGTTTCTGAGCTGACAGGAGTTGAAAAGGAAAATTTTACAAGGGTTCATTCTTGTAAGACTCTTTCCCCTTTTTGCCTCCCAATTGCATGTTTTGGTTTTCCCCACCTGTACAAATAAAAGTACTTTTTCTCAGTAGAGAGCAATGCAGAGATTTTATACACAGGCTACAAATAATTCATACGTGTCTTAAAACACTAAGGTTTTTTTAAAAAAACCTTGGGCTTACTCATTTTTCTTTCCCATTTTTCCTCATTCTATTCATAAATTACTAAATGAAAATCAAGTATGTAACTGAGAGATTTCAGATGTTTCACTTTGCTTTCCACAGAAACAAAAGCATCTAAGCCCTTGGTGATTTTTCCAAGATTTATTTTAAACTCAATGTAGAGTAATTCATTTCATAAACGGACTTTACTGTTCAAAGACACATGCTTGAAAATTTAAAATAATTCTTCAAAATGGCAAAAATAGTCATAAGCTGTTAAGGATTTGGGTTTCTCTATGGTACAGTGTCCTGAGCGTGATTAACAGTTCATCCTGGGAAATATTTGAATATATTAAAGAGTGAGATTTCCTTCTTAATTTTTAGTCACACTTTATGATCTTGGAAAGGTACTGAATCTCCACCTTTGAAAATGAAGAGTATACAAAGATTCAGAAATAATTCATTTTTACCATATATTTGAAAATGGCTTGAGCTGGTCCTCACCAAACTGAATGGCATGAATGTGTTGGAATCATTTCATGGTTTGCTTTTCTCCTCTTTCCACCTCTGGATGGGCCAGGCTGGCTCTCACAGGATCAGACTTTATGAGAGGGAAGATTACAGAGGCCAGATGATAGAGATCACTGAGGACTGCTCCTCTCTTCAGGACCGCTTCCACTTCAATGAGATTTACTCTCTCAATGTGCTGGAGGGCTCCTGGGTCCTCTATGAGTTGCCCAGCTACCGGGGAAGGCAGTATCTGCTGAGGCCGGGGGACCACAGGCGCTACCATGACTGGGGGGCTGTGAATGCTAAAGTGGGCTCCTTGAGGAGAGTCATAGATTTCTACTGAAATAAGTGCATCATTTCTCAATCTGGAAAGTAATAAAATATTTTCTGTTTTCCTGGCAATGGTTTGCTTGTATTTTTCCTTTTTTCCTACATTTATTATTTTATTTATACACTCACACACACACACACACGCACATACACACGAGATGCAGGTGGAAATCAAGGTGTGTGATCTACGGGTAACAAAGAAAATTCTCACAATAGAACTATGCTTTCAAATGAAGCAGAGCTTTACAGTTTACAAAACACTTCATAATACATTATCTTATTTGATTCTCTGGCGTTTAAACATATTGCTTCTTCAAACCAGATAGTGAGATATCTCTTCAGTTTTTCTTTGAGGAGTGAGGATCTGAAAGCTGAGGTTCAGAGATAGTGTGACCCACTTCTTAAATCAGGGATTCTGAAGCTGGCTACAATGGGCTTCAGAAGATTTTTTAATTCCCTAAATTGTATGCAAAATTGAGTTCACAACTCTCTGGCAGGCGGACTCTTTTTTTTTCTCCTTTCATTATTTTGCCTTTTTTTTTTGTTTTTTCTTTCCCGTTTGATTTTGATGCTGAACTGGTCTCATGACACTCTCTGGACATTGAAACATTCAGTGGAAGAATGCTGATGGGGAGAGAGGAGATGGTTCTGGAAAAATTTTTGCCTTCCTAATGAAAGGGAGCAGCTGCCCTGGTGCCACAATTCCCTCTTATTTCAGACATGTTACACTCAAGAGCTGACAAGTACGAGGGAAATGTCAGTTTCAGAAATGCTGGCCTTGATGTGGTCAAGCCCCTGAATCAATGTTTATTAGTCAGGGCTCTCCAGAGAAACAGAACCCATAGGATCTATATAGATATAGATGAGGAGATTTATTATAGGAATTGGCTCATGTGATTATAGAAATTGAGAAGTCCCATTATCTGCAAGCTAGAGAATCAGGAAAGCTAGTGGAATAATTCAGTCTGAGTTCAGAGGCCTGAGAGCCAGGAATGCTGATGTCTGAGGACAGAAGGAAGAGGGAGTTCATCCTTCCTTCTCCTTTTTGTTCTATTCAGGCCCTCAGCAGATTGGATGCTCTTCTCTACTTAGTATACTGACCCAAATCCTAATCTCTCCCGGAAATACCCTCACAGACACACCTAGAAATAATGTTTTACCAGCTATCTGGGCATCCCTTAGCCCAGTCAAGCTGACATAAAATTAACCATCACACAATGCCAGCAACCCTTTACCTTGAGACTTCTTGTAATGGGAGTAAAATAAACCCACATTTGATTACGGCACCACCATTGGGTGTTCTTTCATTTGTAGTTCAATACACATTTCTAGCTGACACAGAGCATATGTGACTTTTTCCGAGGTGACTGTTTAGAACTTTATTCAGAGTCTCAAAGAAATTCCTAATGGAAAATCCCCCCCCCCCCCCCGCCAAGAAGGGAGAGAGGGAGGGAGGAAAGCAAGTCACTACAGCACAACGAAGTAATGTGGTGTTTAACATATTTCAGACCTGAAGGTCATCTAACCTAGATCACTCATTTTATGTAAGGTAAACTAAGGTTCAATTCTAATTTCAAACAGTTAATAATAGAAGTGGCATCAGAATTCAGAACTCACAGCTCAGAAAATCAGTGCTTTTCCATTGTGGAAACAGGAAGATGCTTGTCAAAATAACGACAGCACCAGCTTACAGATTCTTACCGTGAGGTAAGCAACCAACCAACCAGGAACTGAATTAATATATAGGATAATCCAAAGCTGCATTCTCTGTCTATATAAATGCACACATGATACACACACAGTTATATATATTTATATAACTGTATACATATACTCGCCATATGTGTGTATATCTGTGTGTGTTAGTATATTGCCTGTGTAAGGTTACAGGGAAGTATAACACTATATTCACTTACATTAGTTCTTCTACTGCTTGTTTTCTTACTTGCACCCTCATTGCTAGAATCTTAGGAAGGAGTGGCGACTACGTTTGTACTCAAAGACTGATCTGATCAAGTCATTTCCCTGATTAAAAACCTTTGATATTGCTCCACTGACCACAGGGAAAAATTCTACCTTTTTCAAGAAACTGGCCCCAGCCTACCTACTTTCTCTCTTATTACCTGACCCCAGTTGTCCTTTACTCCATCGCATCCAAGTCATCCAATCACGTTAAGTCACCCAATCACATCCAACCTCATCCAAGTCATCCAATCACATCCAATCTCTGAGTTTGCTCACATCTTTTCCTCACCCGGATTGCTTTTCCCCACCTTCTACCCAGTAAGCTACTCATCTCCAAAGCTTGATCAGAATTCACCCCAATCCCTTGGCCAAAAATGGATCTGAATCAGTTAGCATACATTAGACCGAAAGTAGCCAAAACACCATAGCAATGGATAAACAATGTGGAAATCTATTAGCTCACATGATGGGAAGTCCTAGGGTAGCACGGAATTTAGGAATGGTTAGTTCAGCGCTCAACAATATCGTCAGGGCCCCAAGTTTTGTCCATCTCCCACCATATCATCAACCTGACGCTGGTGTCCCTGGAAACCATAGCTGCTAGCTGCAAGCAGGGCAATACACAAGGAAGGTTGGGTGAAGGAAATCAACGAAGAAGCTTTGCCTACAGCACAACTGTGCCCAGAGCACTAATTCCCAAGATTAAAGAGGACCTTGAAATATTATCAGTTCTTGAATGTAAGCTTTGGTGGTGTAAGATAGTCAGAATGGAATGAATAAAGGGAGAAAGAGGAAGAAAGCCCAAGAGGGAAATGTAAAAAAAATTTTAAGACATTAATTATATTAATTATTCCCTTCTTATAAAGTAAGAGGACTATAAGTCAGTTAAAATAAACTCTGTTTTAAATGCTTTTTAATTCCCTTTCAACCACTAGGAGTTACCCGATTTTAATGTTTTCTTACAACCACAGTAGATTTTGTGTGTGCGTGTGTGCTGCACTGTGCGGCTTGTGAGATTTACTTCCCCAACCAGGGATTGAACCTGGGCTCTTGGCAGTGAGAGCGTGGAGTCCTAACCCACAGTAGCATTATTGAAATCAAGAAATTAATATTGAAAAAATTCATATTGATTCCCTTCTTTTCTTGTTGCTCATGGAAGATGCTTTAAATTGTAGTAAAATATACATAACATAAAATTTACCATTATAACCATTTTAAGTGTACAATTCAGTGGCATAAAGCACATCATTGTGCAACCACCAGCACTATTCATCTTCAGAAATTTTTCATCATCCCAAACTGAAACTCTGTACTCATTAAACAATAACTCCCCATTCCCACCTTCCCCCAACCCCTGGTAACCACCCTTCTACTTTCTTTCTTTATAAATCTGACTATTCTAGGTATCTCAAATGCATTGAATCATATAATATTTGTCCTGTGTCTGGCTCATTTCACTTAGCATAGTGTTTTCAAGGTTTGTTCACGTTGTGGCATTTATCAAAATTTCATTCCTTTTTAATGCTGATTAATATTCCATTCTATGCATATACCACATTTTGTGTACCCATCCGTTCTTAAATGGGCATTTGAATTGTTTCTTCCTTTTGGGTGTAATAAAGAATGCTGCTATGATCATTGGGGTACAAAGAGCTGTTCAAGTCCCTGCTACCAATTCTTTCGGGTATACGCCTAGAAGTGGAATTGCTAAATCATATGGTAATTTGATGTTTAATCTTTAAGGAACTACCATACAGTCTTCCACAGTGGCTGTACCAATTTACATGCCCATCAGCAATGCACAAGCTTTCCAATTTCTCCACATCCTCTCTAAGACTTGTTGTTTTCTGTTTTGATTTTGCTTTTTATACTAGCCATCCTAATGGGTGTGGAGTAGTATCTCGTTGTAGTTTTGATTGCATATCCCTAATGATTAGTGATGCTGAGCATCTTTCCATGTGCTTATTGGCCATTGTATTATTTTCTTTGGAGAAGTGTCTATTCAAGCCTTGTTTTTCAATTGGGTTTTTTTTTTTGGAGGTGGGTGTTTTATTGTTGTTGAGTTACAGCAGTTCTTTATACATTTTGAATATCAATCCTTTATCATATATGATTTGCAAATACTTTCTCACATCCTATTGGTGTCCTCTTCACTCTGTTGATAGTCTCCTTTGATGCACAAAAGTTTTTATTTTGATGAACTCCAATTTATCTATTGCCTATGCTTTGGTGTTATATCCAAGAAATCACTGCCAATTCTAATCTCATGAAGATTTTCCTCTACGTTTTCTTCTAAGAGTTTTATAGTTTTAGTTCTTTAACCCATTTTGAGTCAGTTTTTGTATGTGGTGTAAGGTAAGGGTCCAACATCATTCTTCTGCATGTGGATATCCAGTTTTCCCAGTACCATTGTTGAAAAGACTGTCTTTTCTCCATTGAACGGTCTTGACAACCTTCTCAAAAATCATTTGACCATATGTGTAAGGGTTTGTGTCTGTGTTCTCTATTCTATTCCATTTGTCTGTATGTCTATTTTTATGCCAGTACCACACTGTTTTGATTACTGTAAATTTTGTAGTAAGTTTTGAAATGAGAAAGTGTGAGTTCTCCGGCTTTGTTCTTCTTTTTCAAGATTGTTTTGGGGGAGTCCACTGGTGGTCTAGTGGTTAGGCTTCAGCGCTTTCACTGTGGTGGTCCGGGTTCAATCCCTGGTCCAGGAAATGAGATCCTGCAAACCTCTCGGTGAGGCCAAAATTAAATAAATAAATAAAAATTAAAAATGGCTTCACACACACAAAAATAGATTGTTTGAGGTATTTGGGATCCTTTGAGATTCTATATAAATTTTAGAGTGGGTTTTTCTACTGCCTCAGAAAATAACATTAGAATTTTATGGGGATTGCATTATATCTGTAGACCACTTTGGGAAGTATTCATATCTGAACAATATTAAATCTTCCAATCCATGAACACAAGATGTTTTTCCATTTATTTATATCTTCTTTTCTTTTTTTTTGTTTTTTGGCGGTACGTGGGCCTCTCACTGTTGTGGCCTCTCCCGTTGCAGAGCACAGGCTCCAGACGCGCAGGCTCAGCGGCCACGGCTCACGGGCCCAGCCGCTCCGCGGCATGTGGGATCTTCCCGGACCGGGGCACGAACCCGTGTCCCCCGCATCGGCAGGCGGACTCTCAACCACTGCGCCACAAGGGAAGCCCCTATATCTTCTTTTCTTCAGCAATGTTTTGTAGTTTTCAGTGTATAATATACTCATGTTAAAATTTTAACATATGGTGAGCATTTTCCATATCATTAAATAAATTCTTTGAGAACATGATTTTTGGTAGCTGTGTAGCATCTCATCAAAGAGATGTTCTATAACTTACCTAATTAATGCCTTATGTGGACATTTTATTTGTATCTAATTTTTTATATTATAAACAGTGGTCTGATAAAATGCCACTGTGCATAATATTTTCAGGTACCTTTAGCTATTTCCTTTGGACAAATTCTTAGAAATGAAAGTATTAGATCAAAGCAATGAAAATTAAGAAGGTTTTTTTTGCAGGGGAGGAACGAGGTGTCTTTTTTATTGTGACAAAAAACACATAACAGGGCTTCCCTGATGGCGCAGTGGCTGAGAATCCGCCTGCCGATGCGGGGGACGCGGGTTCGTGCCCCGGTCCGGGAAGATCCCGCATGCTGCGGAGCAGCTGGGCCCGTGGGCCGTGGCCGCTGGGCCTGCGCATCCGGGGCCTGTGCTCCGCAGCGGGAGAGGCCACAGCAGTGAGAGGCCCACGTACCACAAAGCAAAACAAAACAAAACAAACAAAAAAACCACATAACATTAAATTTACCATCTTAACCATTTTTTTTAACCACAGTACAGTAGTGTTAACTACATGGATGTCCTTGTGCAAAGATCTCTAGAACTTTTTCATCTTGCAGAACTGAAAGGAGGTTTTAAAATATTCATCCACAGTGATCTTTAAAATTCGGTACTATGGTTTGAATTTTTTCCTCCTTTCTACTTCTCTGTAGTTTCCAATTTTCTATAAAATTAGAATTTTTAAAAGAAAAAATGTGAATCAGGCTTATTAAATTTATGTGTTTCAAATAAAATTGTTCAGGGCAAACAATTTATTAGCATTAGACTTAAATAGCAAGAATCCACACTAAGGAACGAGACAGGTGTATCACGGTTACATCTGTTTGAGGACCAGCTCCTTCTAAAGCAGTGGTTTGCAGCCAGGGTTGATTTCACTCCCCCAGAGGACATTTGGCAATGTCCGGAAATATTTTTTGGTTGTCACAACCTTGAGAGTAATGCAAATAGTATGAGGTTGTGAAATCCTGTTCTAAAGAGTGGAGCCCCAGAAGCTGCTGGGGGGATGGGGGGTGGGTGGTAAGGAAGGAAGACTCTAGCGCCTGGAACCAGAGCATTAACTAGGGAGCAACCAGGCTTGTCCAGGGCTGGGGAAGGTACAGAAAGCAGAATCTTCCCAAGATTGTAGGATTTTAAATCTGTTACATTTGCATGTTAACTTGAATTTTCAGCAGCTAGAACTAATTAACCTTATCACTTGGTTTGCAAAATTATTGCTTAAATAAAAAGTTACGGTGTGAGTAATAACCACCCGTTAGTCCCCTCATGAACTCCAAAGTTGCAGGCTTCCTGCTGGTGGGCCGGAGGCAGCAGCTGAGTCTGGAGTCGGCCCTGGTCCGTCTCCAGGGAGCAGAGCCGAACCAGGTGCTTAAAGAGGGCTTCCTCGGGGTCCAACCCCCATCACCTTTCCTCCGGTGTGTTGTCTGCTGCACCCGCTCATCAGCGGGGAGGCTGGTAGGAGGTTCTCTTAGAGAAGAATCCCATCCTCCTTCAGACGTCCTGCGAAGAAGGCAGGTGCATCCAACGTCCCACATCCTCACACCAAGGAAACGCTCTCTCATCTAAACGCCTCCCGCTGGAGCCCATCCTGACCTCTGACCCGGTCACTACCCGGTGTTGTTCCTCAAAAAGAGATCATTTCGAAATTCAAAAAGGTTAAAAAATGTTTCATTACGAGCATTAACCCCGTTAGGCACTTTTGCTCGCTTCCAATCTCCTGACTAGGCTTCATTTAAAGGCCCCAGAGGCACCAAGTGACAGTTTTACGCGGGTCATCAGTTCGAAAGCTCTGGAGAGTCTAAGAGAAAACATACAATAAGTCCCCCGCCCACCCCCGCCGTCATTATATAGAAGAGAGAGAGGAAATCCTCCTCACGCGGGGGCCCCTTTTGTGTCGTTCCTGCCAACGCAGCAGCCCTCCTGCTATATAGACCCGCGCGCCCGCCCCACCGCACTGAACTCGCATCCCCGCATCCAGCAGCCATGGGGAAGGTGAGCCCCGCGCCGGCGGGAGGGGCCCGCAGCCGGGCTGGAGCCCAGGCCTCTGAGCCCTGTCCTTCCCTTCCCTGCAGATCACCTTCTACGAGGACCGGGGCTTCCAGGGCCGCCACTACGAGTGCAGCAGCGACCACGCCAACTTGCAGCCCTGCTTCGGCCGCTGCAACTCCATCCGGGTGGACAGCGGCTGCTGGATGCTCTACGAGCAGCCCGACTACCAGGGCCACCAGTACTTCCTGCGGCGCGGCGACTACCCCGACTACCAGCAGTGGATGGGCCTCAACGACTCCGTCCGCTCCTGCCGCCTCATCCCCCACGTGAGTCCGGTTCCCCTGGGCCTGCCGTGCCCTCGGGTCACACCAGTGCTCCAGACACAGTGGTCAGGCTGCAGGACGGTGGCCTTCTTTTGCTGGCTCTAACCGGGTTCTCTTTCCCTTTATTAATGTCTTTAAGGTTTCTTTCCACCGAAAAATTGAGTGATGCAATGCTCTTAATTGAAATTGTATTCTCCTTTGCTAAAATTAAGCTCACCTCTACTGGGCAAAAGTGGTGCACGGCATTAGTTTAGAGCGTCTGTGCCACCGCTGAGGAATAAGCAACAGGTGAACTCCTCACACCCAGGTGCCCTTAGGCTAGTTACTGGGCTACTTCTCTCCTTCCTCATCTGTAAAGCGGGGTTAATAAGGGCAGTTGGTTCATCGAGCTGTGATGAGGTCAAAAGGAGATTGCCCAGCACATGGCAAACTACCCCCTCCTCCAAATATTAACCATTATGAGTATCAAGTGTCCCTCAAGTTCTGCTTTTTGATTAGGCAAAACAAATAACCAACAATGTGATTCTAGTAGCACCTGCAAAGCCCACTGCTACCCAAGTAAAGCCTGAGCAGCCTGGAATTCTACAGTTAGGGAGGCTTTTATTTGCCTATGACAGAGTCCTATGGAAAATGTACCATTCTGGGGAAATTTGAAACCCCCTCAGAGGGTTGAAAGCCTTGATAGGACCCAGACTGGCATTAGGAGCCTGGAAATCTGGACCTTTACTTTCCCTGACTCTTTGATTACAGCCTGAAAGCTCTAGTCATTAGTTTCTCTTAAAAGAAGAAAAGACTTAGAATGGTTGCTCCACGTGTGTCAGGCTGTTGTGAAGATCAAATTAACACACACGTGAGTCTTTTGCAAACCATGGAAGATACCTTATTAGCAGTTTTTTATACCTCAGAATGAATTGCTTATGAGAACATTTCCTAACGAGGATTTAATGGTGGAAGAAGGAAGAAGGAATTGAGTGGGTACCTGCTGCGAAGGAACAAGCAGATAAAAGAACAAGTGCTCAGGAAGAGACAGACAGGATTTGCCCAGGACTGACAGCCTGCCCTTACATTTTTCTAAAGGTTTTATAATCTATTGATCTAGACAGGCCTCCTTCATGATCTTGAGCTTCTATTTTTATTAATTACCTAAAAGTGTTTTGCCAGACCATATATTAGAGGTGAGAACTGAAACCTAATCGTTACGATGGCTCTTGCTTCTCGGGATTTTAGAATAGCAGGACTCAAAGCAGAAAGGAAGGGATTAAGGAGTTGCCTGGGCTGGACTGCCACCTCCTGTGCTTCACTTCGGGGAAAGCAATTCGACTTCCTCTCTTCCCAGCCTCTTCTAATGCTATGGAGTTCCAAAATAATGCCTTTTGCCAGGGATAGATTTGCCTTTTTATTTTAATATCTAATTATTTTTATAACCACCAAGGAGAGTTCCAGACCACCGTTTAAGTCTATAAAGGAGAGAGCAAAAATTATATATAAAAATTGTCACTTAAGAATGGTACTAAGTAGGTACTAAATATGATTCATGTAGGTTGTGGCCCTAGAAAACTATGGAGCACCATGAATGTCTTGATCTGTGTGAATGGCCCCCTCTTCAGTTTTGCAGTGTGCAATCTACCCAACTATACCCAGTGGCCCTGGTGTTGGTTGTCTTTTTAATTTGTCATCTTTGATATAGAAAAGATTAAAAAAATGCCCATTCCCCCAGCGGTGTGAGTGATTGGTTGCTAAAGGCTAGGTTTTCTGACCCTTCCCATCTGCTGATTGCTGAACCCAGACCAGCTCCCACCGGCTGAGGATGTACGAGCGAGAGGACTACCGAGGCCAGGTGGCGGAGCTCACGGAAGACTGCTCCTCGCTCCGCGACCGCTTCCACTTCAATGAGATCCGCTCCCTTCACGTGCTGGAGGGCTGGTGGGTCCTCTATGAGATGCCCAACTACCGCGGGCGGCAGTACCTAGTGCGGCCGGGGGACTACAGGCACTACCACGACTGGGGGGCCCTGGATGCCAGAGTGGGCTCCCTGAGGAGGGCCGTGGATTTCTACTGAAATACTTTTACTCTACTGTTTTCTCCATCTGGAAGCTAATAAAATATTTCCTGTGTGTCTCCTGCAGTTACGTAGCTTTCTTTTCCTTTCAGATTCCTTGGAAAGAAAGGCTCAGCAAAACTAAAGCTGGGGATAACGTGGATTTTCTTACATGTATCAGCGGAAAGGGTGGTGTGGGGAAGCAGTTAAGAGGACAGGCTCTGGAGCCAGAATGCCTGGGTCCACATCCACTTACTAGCTATAGGCAATGGAGCAAGTTAGCACTTTTAACATTTTTGTGTCTCAGTTTTCTAATTTGTAAAAAAGGGGGTAATAATACTTTTCTCTTCATAGAAGTTAAATGTGGCTTAATTAAGTTAAGAGCCATAATTCTCTTACAACGATGCCAGGCACAAAGCAACTGATATATAATCAGAACTTACAACGTAAGCGTTCCTTAGTTATTACTGAGTATCTGGACCTTGTACATTAGTGTTTTCAAAGTATCAGTAATGGGTTGAGGATCACCTGCGACACCAGTTAAAAGACAGAATCCTAAACCCCACCCCACAGGTGATTCACATGCAAATGAAATTTAAGAACTGCAGTTCTAAATCTAGTTTCCTGTACTACAGAATTACATCTGAAAAGATTGAACACCTCCATTTTTAGACACTGGGCTCTGTACCAGGAAACAACAATGAGCAGAAGTGGGTCCTTGTCCCCAAGAGCTTACAGTCTAGTGAGGGAGCAGAATATCCAACAGAATTTTTAAAATAATCATCCCAGCAGCATGGTTGTTGCATGTATGTCTACACGACTGTGGGAGCATTGAGGAAGAAGCCCAAGATACTTGTCAGAGTATCTGAGACGCTCCTACTGCAACTTCATCCATCCCTAGGAAGGACTTTGAATTCCCACCACCACACTGAGAACTATCAAAGACCCGGCTCCAAAATTCTTCTGGTAAAATTCCTAACAGAATGCTAGGAAAAGGAGATTGAAACAGATGATCATACCGACATGACAAGCAATATAACAAAGGGATTAGAACTCTAAAATATGACTGCACTTAGACTGCATTAGTTTGAATCTCAACTCTATCTTGTACGAGCCAGGCAAGAGTCTCAGATCGGGTTCCCCCAGACACAGATCATGAACCAAGGGTTCAGGAAAAGTGACTTATGGGGAAGTGCTCCCACAAGGAAAGGTGAGGGAGTTGAAGAAGCAAGATGGGGAAGAAAATGCCAACTTAGCCGGATCCCTTGGAGAGCCTCAAAGCACGGACCATACCTCCGAGTTTCTCCCACCTGGAGGCAAAGGATCTGGGGGCTGGTTATCTGACAACAGTCCCCTTTGCCATTGATCACAGGGCAAGGGAGACACAAAACTCCCAGAGCCTTTGGACTCTCCTCACTGGCTGGTGAGGGGCAATCGTCAGAAGGTTGCAGGGCAAGCGTTAGCAGCAAAGCCTGCTGAAGCTGGGCACTCAGAGCTGGAAAGAAGGCCTGAAAGGATCTGGGCAGAGTGTACCTCGTCAGTATAATAGGGATAGTAAAAGTCCCTCCCTTGCATGGTGTGAGGTTAAAATGATATAAAGCCTGTAAACACTAAGTACAGTGCCTGGAACATGGTAGGTGCTCACCAACTGTCTACAATTATTATTATCATCATCATCATTATTATTAAGTTCTATGGATTTGGGAGAAATGGATACAAATGTTGTGGAAACCATGAACTAATCTTGTCCCACAGGGAAGAAAGCATGGCACATACGAGGGAAACAATGAGTAATTTGAGTTGACCAAAGTATGAAGAGCCCAGAGAAGTAAGAGAGAAGGTGGTCTGATAATTAAGGCCAGATCTGGGAGGGAAACAGCATTAGTCATCAGACCTTGGCTGAGACAGAAGTGATATTGTCAGTAGGCTCAGAACCAGCATCTAGAACCTGAGCTCTGAAGTCAAAAGCATTTTATAAAATAAAAGGAGAGCAATGGAACAAGCAAAATTTTTTCAAATCCACATAAGCAAAAACCAGTAAAGGAGAAGCATTAGTACAGAACACTAACACTGCTTCTTCCTCCACAAGCAACGTGACCCCATTCTCCTCCAAGAGGCCGAAGCTAGCTGCCTACTCAGACCTGTGAACTGGAAAATGTGATTGTGTAGGGGCTTCCCTGGTGGCACAGGGAGCACGTGTTTGAGCCCTGGTCCGAGAAGATCCCACATGCCGCAGAGCAACTAAGCCCGTGCGCCACAACTACTGAGCCTGCGCTCTAGAGCCCATGAGCCACAACTACCGAGCCCGTGTACTACAACTACTGAAGCCCACACGCCTAGAGCCCATGCTCCGCAACAAGAGAAGCCACCGCAATGAGAAGCCCGCACCGCACAACGAAGGGTAGCCTCCACTCGCCACAACTAGAGAAAGTCTGCACACAAGCAACGAAGACCCAACGCAGCCAAAAATAAATAAAATAACTTTTTTTTAAAAAAGAAAAGGTGGTTGTGTAATAATCAACACAAGCTATTTAAAACCTTTACATTTTCACTGCCACTCCTTCTCACATTACCTTTCATCAAAACTATTCCAATAACTGCTTAACTTAGTTACTTTCTCCTCGGCCCTTCCAGCTCTCGTTAAAAAACAACTTTTTTTCTCTAAGAACAAAACTAGAATATTGAATACATTGTTTGGGCATATGCATTGCTTCTGTTAGGATTAATTGCTAAGGTTATTTGAAGAAACTTGAAAATAAAAAGAAAGAGGAAGGGGAGAGGAAGAAAACAGAGAGATACTAGCGATGAGAGAATGGTGTCTCAGGACAGGGTGTGGCATTTATGGAGGTGAAAAATGGTGAGATTCTGAACATATTCTGAAGGCGGAGCCAACAAAAACTCTTGCTGGATTCAATGTGGAGGTGAGAGAGAGGTTTGGTCTGAGCAACTGGAAGGAAGGAGTTGCTGTCAACCCAAACAGGGAGAACTGCTGAGGAGCAGGTTTGTGGAGGAAAACCAGGAGGTCCCATTTTGGACAAGATGAGTTTGAGGTGTCCGCGAACATCTAAGTGGAATTGTTAACCAGGCAACTGGTTATACTAACCTGGAGTTCAGGAGAGAGGCTGGGCTGGAGATCTACTTTTGTAAGTCATTGGTGGGTAGATGGTATTGAAAGTTATAAGCCTGAACAGGATGCCCAAGGGAGTGTGTGTAGGTGGAGAAGCCTGGGGTGCACTCCAGCTTTAAGAGCACAAGACAAAGAAGAATGTACGGGTCAGGGAAAGCTAAATGCTGTAACAAAGAGCACCAACAGTTCAGTGACTTACACAATAAAAGTTTTATCTTTCATTTAAAAAAATAATAAAATAAAATGTTAAACAATAAACAGAGGTTTTTTGGTTTTGTTTTTAACATAATGACTCTTTAGCTAGTTCTTCAGACCAGATACATCCAGAAACATTGAAGTCAGCAGGAACAATGCCAATATAATTAGAGAAGTGGAATCTAATTGTTTTATATCACTTTTAATTTTTTGCCCATTATATTAAAAAGCACTACATACAGATTCTTCAAGGAAATTTGGAAAATTGTAATGAATACTTAAAAATACCAGGATGCCCTGTATACATCTATAAATCTCCTTCAGTTTGAACATAAATGTGATTATGAATAAAGCTGTTATAAACAAACAAACAAAAAATACCAGGGTGCCTATGCACCCACATTTAGAATTACTAAGAGAGAGAGATTAAGGACTTCGAAGCTGTGGTAGGCAGAGCGACAGAGGCCTGGTGCACAACTGCCTGGATTTACTTCCTCTTAGATAAGAGCACCACCCAGTGCTCACCAGAAGGAAGGCAGTTATGATTTAAAAGTTTGTCCCAACATCACAATTACTAAGAGATTATTTTGCACCTTTTAAATATACTGTTATGCCGTGTAGGCAAGATAAACTTATAACTTAGCCAAAGAGCTTATTAAGTAAGTGTAAATTGTACTCAAATAGCAGTGTTTGAGAGCTTTGTGACACAGCCTAGGTATTTCCTAAGAGAAGGTGAAGAAAGGCATGTTGGTTGGTCTGTGTTCACCGGAGCGGCTGTGGCCCTTCAGAGAAGGGAATCCAGCATTTGTTTGTGCCTTTTCACAGAGCCTATGTCTTCTCCTCCATCTCCCAACATCTGACAGATCCATTTCTAATTTATGAAACTTTGAGTTCATGGGTAAGATAGATCCCATACCCTTGTTCAGATACTTCCTTCACTTTCACCTTCAAGCTCAACACCTATTTACTTATGATTTCTCAACCAACTCTTTTTTACATTTTTTCTTACCATTGTATATGAGTAGTTCTTTTACCAGAATATTGATTCATCTCTTTTAGAAAACAGGGACAGCTATGCCACATGTCATTGGCTGACTTCCTCTGTGTCTCTATCCCTCTCTCAGTGTCTACAGACATATATGGTTGTTCATAACCCACTGGTTTAAAATGTCTCAGATCAATCTAGGTGTATTCAGAGATGATGAACAGTGTGTAGGGCAGCTCCTCTGCGCATCCTTGCATTTGAAAGCCACGACCTTGGCTCTTTAGAATAACACCCAAGCTCGCATCTTGAGGCTGCTTTGAGCAGTATCCTCCAAACGATGTTTGTCTTTCTGCCTGAATCATCCCACTGCCAGCTTATGCTGGTCTCAAAGGTGGGAATTGGGAACTGTTGATAGAGTGCATAAATATAGCTCCTGTTCTCATAGCCTTTGGGCTTTGTTAAGAGTTCCAGAAAACTTTCACCACACGTACCACATGAAAGGGGACCGCTGCAAATCAGCCCAGATCCCAGAGACCCACCAGGGTCTACCACACTCCCACTTGGAAACTTCCCTGTTCCCACTGACTCAGACTTTGTGGCCACCTGCCTCACCCTCTCAGGGTCCTGGCTTGGAAAATAAGATAAACCCTGTTGTACCTCATCATCTTTTCTTTCCTTGAAATCAGACTAGTCCATTCTAAACTAAGTCTCACC